AAACCTCCATCAACTTCTCTAAAATCACTCGAGCCGTCAGCTTCCTAAGGGGAAAAAGTTCTACCCATTTAGTGAAGTGATCCGTGATCACCAGCAAGAACTTATTTCTGCTAGGAGTTGAGGGGTACGGGCCCATTACGTCACACGCTGCGATTTGCCAGGGAGTCTGACTGTTAATCGGTTGCATGAGGCCGGGCGGACGTCCTCCTCGCGGCTTGACGCTTTGGCACACACGACATGAACGGGCGTAGCGAATCACATCCCGCTTCATACCTGGCCAGGTAGCGAGGCGACACAACTTAGCGTAAGTCTTAGGGCCGCTCGCATGCCCACCAATGCACGAGTCATGAAAGTAGCGAAGAAGCGCTCCTCTCAACGCGCGCGGTATCACGACTTTAAATGACTCACTTGTGTCATCGTCGGATGGAATGTACCTCAGCAGGACGCCGTCAGAATCTAGCAGATATGAATCCAGCGCGCTCACAGCACTACCAGCTGTTGCCGAGCGCTCCGCACCGACAGCAATACCAGCTGCCCCCTTGTGCGCGGTGGCCTCACTACCACCCGGCTCCCGGAGCCCGTCGAACACCTTTCGACAAAATGGATCTTTCTGCTGAGCTTCTAACAGCTCCCTTCTGCTGAAAACAATCCCTGCGCTAACGACAGCCTCTACGTGGTTCACGCTCTTAGCTCGAACTAACGTTTGCTCCGCTGTTTGCGTTAGCGCGAGTGTCTCGCTCTCAGTTCGTTCCGAATTAGTCGCGTGACTTGCCTCGTGTCGAACTGGAGCACGCGATAGTGCGTCGGCCGCGGCATTGTTCTTACCCTTGCGGTAGCGGACGGTGAAGTCATAACGCTGCAGCAACAATGCCCAACGCGCCAATCGGCCACTTGGTTCGTTCAAACGCCTCAACCACGTGAGCGCCATGTGGTCCGTTTCAATCACAAACGCAACTCCGTCTATGTAAAAGTCAAACTTACGGAGAGCAAAAACTATCGCCAGACACTCTTTCTCGGTTACTGAGTAGTTCCTCTCCGCCGGTGTCAACGTACGGCTCGCGAACGCAATCGGTCGGAGGGAACCTCCATGCTCCTGAAGCAAAATTGCTCCTAAGCCCAGGTCGCTTGCATCGGTGTGAATAACAAACTCCCTGTTCAAATCGGGTAGCTGCAGCTGAGCCGTGTTGGCCAGCAACTTCGTGAGGCGACGCAGTGCGGCCTCTTGCTCTTGGCTCCAAGCCCAACGCTCACCATTCCTCAAGAGCTTCGTTAAAGGCGCCTGCACTGCCGCGCAATCTGGAATGAATTGGCGATAAAAATTCACCATCCCCAAAAAGCGCCTCAGCTCACCGACATTGTTCGGCGATGGATAGCTCACTATCGCTTCAAGCTTACCCTTATCCGGCAAAATGCGACCCTCGTCAAGCGTAAATCCCAATAATGTTATTCGGGTCGCCGCTATCTGAGCTTTGTTTGGGTTCAAAGTGATGCCCGCAGACCTCAGCCGTTCTAGAACGTCTCTCAAGTGGCGCACGTGCTCTTCGAACGTTTTCGAGTAAACCACTATGTCGTCTAGATATGCGAGTGCGTGCTGCCACTTTGCATCTCCCAAAACACGGTCCATTAGCCTCTGATACGTAGCGGGAGCGCCCACCAAGCCAAACGACATTCTCCTGAATTGGAAAAGTCCTCTGTGGCACGTGAAAGCTGACTTCTCTTTATCCCGCTCGTCCATCTCAACCTGAAAATATCCGCGGCTAGCATCGAGCGTTGTGAAGTACTTCGCCCCGCCTAGATTGGATACTAACGATGAAATGGAGGGAAGAGGATACGCGTCCTTCTTCGTAATTTCATTCAGCCTGCGGTAGTCTACACAAAGGCGATACGTATCATCTTTCTTTGGAACTAGAACTACCGGGAAACCCCATGGGCTGTTTGACCTCTCAACTACGCCTGTTTCGATGAGTTCGTCCAAGGCGGCGTCTAGTGCTTTCCGCTTAGCTAAGCTGATTGGTCGGGGATTGCATTTCCAAGGGCGTGCATCACCCGTGTCAATTCTATGCTTAACCAGCGTAGTGCGGCCGGGACAGTCAGTAAACATCGCGTCATATTCGTACAACAGCGACGACAGCTGCGCTCGTTCCCCCTCTAGTAGGCTCTGTGCCTGTACCAAAAGCGGGTGCACTGCCCTTTCCTGCAGCGCAGCACATTGCTCCGGCGGGGCGTTTACTCGCTTTCTCGGCGCGCTTTCCTCCTCGCGTACTCGCGCCTCTCCCTGCGATTGGCATGCTTTTGTCAATGCGGAGGCCTTCGAGAAAAGCTTCAGCGCGTCTCCGTCGCGCTCTCGGTAACCACCGTTTGTAATGTCAATGACAATACCCGACTTAGCGAGGAAGTCTCGACCCAGGATTAGAGACATTGACAGCCCTGGAAGATGCACGAAACGTTGTCGCCTCACGCGTCTGTCCCAGCGGATCACTAGCCTAGCCGCGCCGCTCGATTGTGCTGTGCCCGTAGCTAGACGGAAGATGGTGTTGCTTTGCCTCAAGCGGATGTTGTTCTCGCGGAGATGGTGCAACACATCGTCACCGAATAAAGAAGCGCTTGCCCCAGTATCCAAAAGTGCTACGAACTTTTTCCGAGCTATCGTTAACTCGATTAGCGGCGCGGGCGAGTCTACGGCATCACCTGCGCGACAGACCGACGGTGCAAGTGATCCGAACGCATCGGTAGGATTACTAATCGCCGCGCGGGGTCCCATGTGAATCACCGGCGGCGCCGTCCGTTTCCCGAACCGCGCGTTTGCTCCTGACCCGGCGTGCGGTCGCATTCGCGAGCGATGTGCCCTGGCGCGCCGCACCGATAGCAAGGACCGCGGACACCACGCCGGTTCGCTCGTAACTCGCCTCGATCAGGTGGTCCTCGCTCTGGATTGCGCCGCTCGTTAGGCCTCGCGTCAACCACGTGCTCCTGCCTTGGAATGTCACGCGCAGGGGCGGCGTGTGCCGTACGGAGCGCGTAAGCGTAGGGGTCTAAAGCGCGGTTTGACAGCTCCCAACCGCGTGACACGTGCTCATCAGCGTACGATGCTGATGCGTTACCCCTAAACGCTTCTGAAGTCACTGCGCCGCCGTTCCATGCACAGCGAGGCTCGATTGACTGCGCGGCGGGCGGAGGGGGGCGATACGAACGCGCTGCGAGGATGTCCCCTTGTATGCGCTTCGCCTCGGTGGCGAGCTCTTCGAGGTCTGCGAACCTGCATCCCCTGAAGTGCGCCGCGAAAGTCGGGTGCGCCTGTCGGGTAACACGCTCGACCTTTTCCGCGTTGGTGGCGTGAGGGTTCGCGAGACGATACAATTCGTCCATCGCCCGTACGTATTCCAGCAAGGATTCGTCCGGATGCTGGGTGCGCAGCTCCAACTCCCTCCGCAAACGCCACTCATAATTAGCCGGTAGGAATTCGCCGCGAAAGCTTTCGCGGAACTCTTCTACCGTACGGGCGCGATGTCCGGTTAGTCGGAACCACCGAGCCGCTTGCTCCGTGAGCGACACCGGGACCACGCGCTCGAGAAGTTCGGCATCAGAAAGACCCGTCGCCTGCTGATAATGGAGCAACCGGTCGAGATACTCGTTGGCGCTCTTGCAGTCGTGGTAACCCGTGTAGGTCGGAACGTCTACCTTGACACGTGGTCGCACATTTTGCACGGGGGCCTGCGCTGTGTTCTGCAGGGCGCTCGCGAGGCTTTGCATAACTGACAGCGCATTCTGTAAGAGTACCTCGCTCGAGGGCAAACTGTTGCCCGAAGACTCGCCTATAGTTGAGGCGCGTGTCGTAACTTGTGGCGGCGCCTCTCTGTTCGCGTCGCGAGATGCCGGAGCGCCATGCGGGCCGCTCTCCGTCGTAGGCCTACTCTCTGCTAACGCGGTCTCTGCACCCTCCTGATCATCCCGCGTGAAACGACCAAGCTCTACGCTGTCGGAAAGTCCTAACAGTACCCCCGCGTTAGCCAAAGGATCGCCACTCTGCGACGCGACATCCGACAACATTGACAAATCTTGGAATTCCGACATGCCTATTATCCTACGTGTGGAAGAGCGCCCTGGCACTTGCTCGCGTCCACAGAACTAGCCGCGTTGCCAAATTCGTTACGTTGGGCGCCAGATGTTGGGGGACCGTCCTATGTACGGCTGACGCAGAAGCCTATAGCTAATGTTTCAGCCGCACACAGTCGTTCCGTGCACGGTTAACGTCCCCCAACCGTAGCTTGCCTCATTGCAGCTACTACTACGGGTTCGGGCGAATAAGGCAACTGGCCAGATCAACAACAAACACTTTATTGCTAAGCGTTAGCAATCGCGCGTCACTGTCGCGGGGAGATACTACAGATAACAAAGGTGTTGACGCTTACACCTCGGTCGTGGACGTCCTCGGCTCGCAGGAGGGGTTGCGGGTTCGTCCTCCTGGGATGGTCGCTGGTGTCAGAGAGACCGAGCGCCCGTTTGCCCGCTCGTTTTGTTCCCCGACCCGATTTCCCTTTCCCTGACGAGAATGGTACCTTTCCTCGCTGAGGGAGAGGGGAACCTGTTCCTGGCGCCGGGAAAGGGGGGGGAATCGCACGCGCCGGCCGTGGGGGAAGGGGTCCCCGCAACCAGGCGCGTGCGCTGCCCTGAAAGGGAAAGGGAGGCTGGGCGCACCTGCTCCCCACAGTAGTTATGCGTTCTTTTGAGTATCATGAGTTGCCAACTCACTCAGTCAGCCATTCTGACAAGTTACACTTGTGCATAGCTCATGAAAACAAAAATAAAATATGGGCCAGGCTGCTAGTGAACTGTCCGCAAGCCACAGTTTCAGGGCCACTGGTATATAGAACTAGTGCACGTGTTCTGCGGCACGAATTTTCCTGCAAGCCACGCTTATACATACTTAGGTAAAGATTGGGAGGCGTGCAACGTTTCTCATTTTGTTCACAGTTTCATGGCGACCTTCTCTGTTTTTTTAGGTGGCCACTGGTGCCGGTTGACGAGCGTCGCAGACCTACCCGAGATTGAGCTGTCTGTGGTGGTGGGCGTGACTCTAGCAGCCAAAGGCGGAGAAGCTGAGCCGGTTCCCCTGGCATTGGTAGCGCCCATCCAGCTCGTCCGTGTGGAACCAGTCGGAAACTACGTTCAGCTGGTCTACCTGGCCGGTCCAAGTGTGGCCACCAAGATAACGGTATGCTTAAGATCATATCTGGGATTCTAAAATGCTGCCGTTGGTATTAGAGAATAACATAGTAGATATCGAGAAGAAAAAATGGACATGGGCCGGAAACGTAGCACGTATGCAGAATAACAGCTGATCGGTAAGGGTAACTGACTGGATTCCCAGAGAAGGCAAACGCACAAGAGGGAAAGGGAAAGTTAGGTGGGCTGATGAGAGTAAAAAGATCGCAAGTATAATGTGGCAGCAGGAAGCACAAGATTGGGTTGATTGGGGGTTCATGGAGGAGAGGCTTTTGCCCTGCAGTGGTCCTAGTCAGGCTGACGATGATCCTAATCTTGGAGAAGAAAAATGTGTTTTGAAGCAGTTAAAAGGAGTGACAAGATTCAAGAAAATGTGTGCACAAAAAGCAGTTTTTGGGAGAGTACCTTCAACATGTTCGGGTGCCAGAGCGGGGCTCTTTATTCCTGAGGGTTGGCTTTCAAAGAACTGTACTTTTAACATTGTAATGTCTGAGTGTTTCTTCTTTTTTCTTTTTCTTTGGAAAATAATAGAACGATTTCTTTGCCTTTAATTTTCACAACAGAAAGCACATTTGGTGCACACAGTATGAACGCCATAAACATTCGGTGAAGGAACGCTACACTTAATTTCATTGTGCAATGCTGTGGAACCTGTGCAAAAAGTATGGTCAGCAAAATGTGCAAGCCTAGTTTCAATTTATAAGTACGTTATTGTGCACATTAGCCGGGTACATTACAAATGTGCTCTATTTTCTTTTATAATATGTTGTTATAATGAAGAAATGCAGACGTTGATATGATGGGCTGAACTATCATCACCACGACACGAAGGCACGAGATTGGCGATCGAGCTCCATCGCCTTGGTCCGGCTGCGTATTTTTGAGCGACCACCGCTTGCTCTGCTCATTGAGTAAACCTTCCTGTACACTATTTATATTGCTTGCACTGTTCGATTCAAAATTAAGTCACTAAAACACTGTTTACTTTGAATTCGCTTCGAACCTAAAATCTACTTTTCGTACGTTCCTACCATCACTGTTGTGTGTATCGAAAAAAAAATATGGAGGGCGACTGTTACTGTAGTGAATGTGGCAGTACCAGTACTAGTTTGCTTCGGTGGCGATGACAGATTGCGATGGTGAAGCCATTGGGAGAAATCACATTCAACGCTGTGCACGCTATGCAGATTCGACGACCGGACGGTGTTCTCGTAGTCCCAAAGAAAACACCCGAGCAGATCGGCAAAACTAGCCACTGGAAGGTGATGCTGCGGACACCCTCACACACTTCATGGCTGTCACTGGAGTGTTCAGGCACAAAGCAGCGGTTGCGCGTGCCTTTGGAGACGTACCACCTAGGTATTAAGCGTCCTGCTAATATTATTTCTTCTCTCTCTCTCTCTCCATCCAGGCAGTGTTTTGTCATTGAGTTATACAGTAACCCAACAAAAAAAATTTAAAAATATGCAGCTTGCACCTGCAGCAAACGTTGTTTGACCTAGCTCCTTTAAATTTTTTTTGTATAGTTCGAAGGTGTTGTTGGAGATGGTAATTTTTTACTAGTTGTACTAATTATAGCTAGGCTCAGCTTTTCTCTGCTTTCAGTCAGTTCCCCAGGCTGCGACATGCTTTGTATGTTAGTTTCTTCCCGGGAACAAGTAAATGAAAATCAGGTGTTCTTGTTGTGAGATCTTGGTCACGGGAATACCTGTTGCACGATGTTGTGCGACTATTATTGGAGTTACATAATTGTCTATGACGGTTATTACATTGCGCAGTCGAAGAAATTGGTGCACATTTTGTACGAGTGAAGCAGAACGTAAACTGAACAAAGCAATTGTATGTCGCTTCACAATGTTGATTATTTCTGTTCGCACAACCCGGCGCAACAAGGAGCTTATAGGCACCTTGCAACACTTACTTTTCTACAAGGCCATGGAATGGATTCACCAAAGGAGCTTATTGCCTCACGAATTCACCGATGCAAAAATTTTTAGAATCCGTCCTGTGCGAATGAAGTTATGAAGACTTTTTGCATGCTGCAGTTGGATTCTCTCTTCTCTCGTCCCAATGAAAGCATTGGAAGCTAAGCGCGGAGCGCGGGCACAAGGGAGAAAAAAACGTCACGTGTACCTCGTGACCCTTGGCACATTTTTTCTTTTGTTTCTTCTAATGCGCGACTTTTCAGTGCAATTGCAATGTGGAGAAGTGACGGCCTTCCGCAGCGGTCCCGGTAATGACGAAGTGCACCATGCGGAAACCAGCCAATGGCTGATACTTGGCCTGGGACGTAGTCATTTTGAGCCTGTATTGTCATTTGTCGAGAGAAGGGAAAAAAATTTTTTGCTGACTTTGAGTATTTACTCGGGTAACGAATGCGCTTTTTTTTTTTTTTTTTGAAAAATCGTAGCAAAGTTGGGGGTGCATTTCTTGTGTGAGGCAAACTTTATGATAACTTTTTCGGGATGAGCAAAAAATGCGGTAATATGAAAAAGTTGGGTCGCTTAGCCTTTCGCAATTGACGTATGCGTACACTGTTCGGAAACAGCTTTTTTGTTTCACTTTACTCATCTTTGGTCGTTGATGACGCTATTTTCTGCAAGCTGTACCTGCGTCGCCCGCGCAAGCCATAAAAGCGTTTTGCGGCTATCTTTTCTCGCAATCGTTCAACTGCAGGAGTGGTATCTGCTACGTACTTGAGGGGCGCCCAGAAACGCGCGCTTCGACGCACTTCGTCAACTTCGCGGCAAGCTCTTAATGACATAATACATCCGCTGCCTCACTGTCCACATGAGAAGTTATTGTAGAAAAAATAGCCTATATCTTGCGTTCCTTGAAGTAAGCGTGGATACCTAGCATGAAGAGCAAATTGCAAATGAAGCGAGAATCGGGGGTGCTACCATGTTGCGGAAATAATCCTGGTTTTTTCTGGGCGACAAGCAATATTTTCTGCTTTTCCAGAAACCTGCGTGGCGAAGGCGACGAATGGCCCTTCGCGATCACTATGGCGACAGCAAATCCTGTCGTCGTCGCTTGGAAATCGCTTGCATGTGATTGGGTCCTAAAGTTTTTTATTCGCAGGAAGCGATCGTCGCTTGCCGTGGGTAGTTTTGTGTCCTTCGCTCACTGTGTGCTTAGCAGCTGCGATGTCTTGCACACGCGCCGTTCGTGAACCCCGCTGTGACACACAGATAATTTTAAAAGACTGGGGACATGTTCGCACTGATGGAAGTAAAAACGATACGGCGCGCGGCAGCGCACAAAGGGGAGCAGGGAGTGAGCCGAGGTGGCCGAGAGGGACAGGCATACAGTAGGCTCGCTATAATTCAAACTCTGATAATTCATACTTTTGGTTAATTCAAACAAATTCAATTTTTTGGTTGGCCCTCTATTCTTTCAATGTATTTAAAAGCCTCCTAATTCAAACTCCATCATTCGGTTAATTCATACTTCTTGCTATTTCATACCAGAAAATATCTGCTGCTTTCCTTCTGTTATTAAAAAACTTGCGTGCTTATATAATCCTAACAGCCTAAAAATTAAAAGTAAGCGCCTTATGTTTTCAAGGAAAAAGGCTTTGCTAGTAAAAAGCAAATATTTGAAACGAAGCACATGCATGGTAAACTGTGATGTTTCACAACTGGTATCGAGAGCTTCGTGCTGAAGGCACACACAAAGAAGCAGTTGGCAATCGACGATTCCTTTAAAAGGTCTGATCAGCAGTAAATGGCTGATAAGCTTGTGGCCCTTACACTTCTACCATCTATTCATTGCGTGCAGTTAGGGGGTAAAAACGCTTCAAAAATTTTGAAATCTGATAAAATTAATGCCTAATTATAATGTATTGCGTCACCTCACCCACAGTAATATATCTTAGAACTTTGATAATTCAAACTTCTTGATAATTCAAACAATACTCAGAGGTCCCTTTGAGTTTGAATTAACGAGAGTCGACTGCAATAATAAAAAACGGAAGAGATCCAACGAGCAAGGAGGTGCCATGTGTCGGTTAGCGCGACTGCAGCGGATGAATGTAGGGGTTGTGTTTATTATGCAGGGAAAAAGAAATACAAATTTTGACAACTGAAGTTAAGGGTACATTCATTACGCGAGTAGATACGGTATTGTAAATTCCAGGCTACATGCTGTGCTACAATATCTGGCACGCGTGTTTTCCTTGATGATTGGTCGGCAAGGTTCTCTAACCATGCTCATAAAGTGCTGCAGGGCCCCTTTAAAGAGCTTTAAAGAGAATTAAGTACACGAGGATAAAGCACACCTAACGAAAGCTTTCAGAGCAGTGACAACAAAGCACCAATTATGCATGTTTTATATGCACTCTGTTGTTCTGTAAGAGTCAATTACAGCGAAACCCCGGCGGTATCATCATGGCTTGTATAAATTTTGGCATGATACACTTTCTTAATGCTTTAAACTCCCGCTGAATGGAAATATCTTGAATAAAACTGCTGTTTAAGTGGAACTGCCTGTGATTCTGAGTGTGCCAATTTTCATCGAGATCCAATCAGAAACAAGAAAGTTGGTTCTCAAAGGCACGTCCCCCTTAAAGACAAGTAGCCAGCTGCACGGCAGGCGTGAATGATTAAATTCATCATTAAAATGATAGGACTTGCTTTTGTGATAGTGTATGTAGGATCATAGAAGAATGCCCCGCCGCGGTGGTCTAGTGGCTAAGGTACTCCGCTGCTGACTTGCAGGGCGCGGGATCGAATCCCGGCTGCGGCGGCTGCATTTCCGATGGATGCGGAAATTTTGTAGGCCCGTGTGCTCAGATTTGGGTGCACGTTAAAGAACCCCAGGTGGTCTAAATTTCCGGAGCCCCCCACTACGGCGTCTCTCATAATCATATAGTGGTTTTGGCACGTTAAATCCCACATATCAATCAATCATCATAGAAGAATGCTAGGATAGCACCGCATGTTATCTTCGTACTGCATATTTAGAAAACTCGACCAAATAGCTTGGTCCCATCTAGCTGCTGCACATTAAGATTCTGAAAAAGTGCAACTGTTAAGGCAGTCTCTTTGGTAATAAGTAGATGCTTAGTAACGGCAACATCTTTTTCTTCAAAACAGGAAACGAGGGTGCGTGGTCAGGATGGCCAGTACTTTTTGCAGCTGCAGGGACCATCTTAGCAGGTCTGGTGACCATATATCTATTTTGCTACCAGCGCTTCACGGCCGACCGGCCATTTGCGGCCACTGCCACGATGTTGTCAGGCCCAGCAATCATGACGGCGGCTGTCAGGTCGCATGACCAACAGCGGTCACCAAGTGGAGGTGAGTTCTTGTTTCGTGCCAAGAGCTCTGTATAGAGATTCATAAAATTAACTAGAGGGGACTCTGGTGCGACGATCGTTTAGTCAGTGCAGGAATAATGGGTAGTAGTACAAACATTTGCCTAGTCTACGTGCTTGTGGGTTTCAAATGCACTCGTGGCTTTGTTTTTCGCTCTGTTTCAGTTTTGTTTCGAATTAAACAATGGACCGTTGTGAATTTTCCCACTCTATTTGAATTGGTAAGTCTAAAGGGTCAATGTGGGGACGTGTAACTGCTGAACATTTGCTGATTGTCGTTTCGTGGCAAAGCAGCTCCAAACTAGGCGAAGCCAAATGGAGCTGAAAGCATGAAGACTAGGCAAATTTGTGTGCTACCCATCATTCTCATGCCAGTTGAAGCGCCGTGCGTTGCAGCTCCCATAGACACTAGCGCCAGAGTTCCCTCTAGTGGAATTATAGGAAACTATGTGTAGCACTGGCAAGTTAAGCAGGTTAGCTGCATCCTGACAAACATGCCCTTTTTTTTTATATATAACATGCGATGTATACTGTTCCACTTATATTCCAGATTATTCAACCAAATCACTCCTTGCTTCAAGTTTACTTCGAACATGAAATTCACTATTTGCACAGGCCTAATGAAAACTACAGGAGCCTGACAGTTACGGCTTTTCTTTGATAAATTTGTATTGATTAAAAAAATAGATGTTCGGGCGGTCTCAATGTATCAGTGTAACACTCAAACTTTAGTGTAATGAACGTGCATATAATTAATTATGTAAGCTTGGGAGAACAGCGAATTTAGGTTCTAAGCTGATAGTGATTTGGTTTAGATAATTTCAAATTAAATTTGGATAGTATATGTCACGTATTAGTATAATGAAATGGGCATATTTGTTAAAGCCCAACTAACCTGCATACTACTTTTTCAAAAATTGAAACAATGCCTGTGCAAATGCCTTTCTTTTTGTTCACAGGAAGTGGAAACAACTTTAAATAGTAGCATGATTTGACTTTCAGAAAAACGCATGTGATAACCAGTAAAATATGTTACACTGTAAAATTTACAATACTTAGAGCATATAGGCTGGTGAAGCAAGCTTTTAAACTCCCATCAATTCAACTTAAGTTGAATTGATGGGAGGGTAATGTGTTCATTTAACTTTGAAATGGGTCTTTGCAACAGTGTGGATTTCTACTTGATTAATGTTTTCACGGCTTAGCAATCCTCCACTATGGCAAAACTATCGTAACAAAGGGTTACGTGCACATTAAAGTATTTTTGATAGATGCTTTCTCACTTTCGCAGTGCACTGCTGCTGTAAAACCACCTTTGCAAGAAGTTTCATGCGGATTAACATACACCTATTCATTCGTTTCGAATACTTCAAAATTTTCAGTTACTTGGATTTCAAACGAAGTGAGTTCAAATGCTGCAATATTAATTTGAATATTCACACAAGTCTTGAATAATTGGTTTCATCACAGTAAATAAGAAATAGTTGTTAGAGATTATGGTGTTAGTGTTATGGTTATGCATTTGTAATGAATTTCTTGATATAAGGAAGTTATTTTCGTGTCAAATGCGACTTCCTTATTACGAGGTTTGAGTGTAGGATCAGGGTCACCTGCATAGCGCGGTAGTTTCCTGGTGCATATCTATAGCATGCATGGTCGTGTATCTACGCAGTACTGCCTTACATCACCCAGTCCGAGTCAGTACGCCTGTGGAGCCGGCTAGACAGCAGCACCAGCTGGTCTCAGCCGCCCCGCTCACCACAATCGGATCAACCAAGCACGCTCTAGCCAAACTCTGCAATGTCAGCTTGCGGGAACCGGAGACCAAGCCAAGAAGCTGTGCCAAGAACCAGGGACACTAGGGGTCGAGGGGTCGGGGAATGTGTTTTATTTAATTGCGAATTGAATTGCTCATTTAATTACATATTTGGTTGCCAGACTGTGTAGTGACTGTGCCTTCAATTGGTCAACTCAATTTACATTAGCCACAGTACACTGCCATCATGAGTACTAACTATAACTACTTGACTGTAACATTTGAGAGTTGCGAACAGTTTTGGTGAGAGCAGTAGGAAGTGCCTTGCTGAATTGGTGAGAAAAAAGAAATGCTGCTTTTTCTGGACATAAAAGAAGCACTGGGGTTGTCAGTCTTTTATGTTGTACTTTTGTCTTTTTTAGTTTTGTTTTAATGTGCAATTTGTTTTTGCGGATTTTTGGTTCCAATATTCCTGTGTCACGGATAAAACATTAAGAACACGAGTTTTACACTGCACCTCTATAGTGGCTGGACATCACACCAAGAAGGCCGCACCTCAGCGCAAAAGACTTGCTTTCAGTGACAAGAGGGCACAGTTTTTTCTTTGTTTGCTTTTGTTTTTCAACAAACACCTCATTACTGTTCGAGCACTCGTGTGTGCTCAAATGTGTTGTGAAAGTTGGTATACTTAGGTTTCGACAATAAATATGCACATTAGGAGCGAGAAAAGCTGCATTTAACCTAGGATGTGGAACATATGAATTTATGCTTGAGTTGTAAACAATAATGTACAGGGGTTGTCAGAAGTTTTCAAACTGCTGTCTCATTTCATCTTATGACAGCACCACCTGGGAAATTTTGACTGGCCCGGTGCACATATGTCAAGTCTGGATGTGAGAACTTGCACCTGATATGGGTCCCTCTGCAACTTTTCTTTGTATTATGTGTGCTAGCCATACTGTCCACGGTGACAAAGAACAAGCTACGTATTTATGTCATTAAAGTATGAGTTGTAGGCAAGTACCTACATGCATTAAGTCTTGCAGTGAATAGTTTGACCAGCCTTGTTTTTTTTTTTTTGCGACTTTTCTCGCATGTGTGTGTGGGTGTGTGTGTGTGTTGGCTGTACATTTTTGTCAAAATAGAGAACGAGCTTTTTTGCAGGTTGAAGTTAGTAAAGAGACAGACTGCCAATATATCATTCTTCAGGGTTCCTAATTTGACAACATTTGTAAGTTGTGAAAGGTTTACATATTTAGGAGAGAAAAAGAAAAGATGAAAAGTCTAGAACTTTATAATGCACTTCACCAACGTTGAGGAATTGTTTAGTGTTATACAGCTTGTGTTTGCAAAACGAATATTTGCTTTTATGTAGTAATTTATGTTCTTAATGCTTACTTTTTAAGTGACTGTGATGCACTTCCCAACTTCAATTTTTGTCACCCTTTGTGTGCACCATTGTTTGTGTTGATAATGAAAAGTAAACAAAAATCAGAAAGTGACTTTGCTGCTGAATTTATTTGTAATGGCTGTATCAAATGTTTTATATAGTCTGGTTTAGCATTTGCATCGACTGCGCACAAGAAAGTATTGGAACTCTAGAAATTCAGATATTTGCCCTGTTACTTCTCTGTTTTCTGTTAACTAAGCCATTCATATAAACGTAATATCTAGTACACTATTCTCGGGGACAACTTTCTGTGGCAATGAAGGGAAGACTACGGAGCCAAAGTGGGCATGTGCCACCGCTGTAGAATATAGTGCCACGAACGCGTCCATGTTTTCCGCATGAAAGTAATAAAAAAAAACATGTTTTACCAGATGCTGTGTAAAAAGAGATGCCGAATGTGCCGACGAGATATCATTATTTGTTGTTGCTCTCTGAAGAGTCAATTCGCGTTTTTGCGCGTCTGAAAACATCTCACGTTTTATGTGCCCTCCAAATCAAATTGGAGTCTTCATCTTTACGTGAGCGCGCGTCGACCTCCAGCTATTCCGACCACTCACTGAAGGAGCTTGTGTCGAATTTCTCTCACAAATGGCTGTGTACGCAAGCGTATCAAATTTTGTGCAGTGTACATCATGCAGCCGTCATTCGAAACACGAGCCGAACCATGCTACTTCGCGGAGAAGTACAGGAGCAGTAGGTCCGGCCACGTAGCCTTCTCTTCATTGTTACAGAAAGTTGTCCCCTAGTAAACTGAAAACCGATCTACAACAAAGCACTTATGTTGCATAGTCGCCAGTCAAGTTTTTAACGCGATAGCATTAAAAGGCTCGTTTTGTGAAAATTCTGGTGTTGCCGGTATGGAGCAAAAAATGTTGTCCTTGATCGAAAAATCAAGGTGCAAATAAAATAACTGATAAAAATCTTAGGGTTCAAGTGAGAACCTAACCCATGTCGTCTGTGCGACATGCATCTGTTCCACCACATAGCCATGCTATTCCTTGAATTCGCTTCGGAAAAAAAAACACTGCGTATGTAAATGTCATATAGTGAAACGCATGTAATATTGCGTGGCAGAACCATAGAATCATACCAGGCATTGAAACATGAATTGCACAATAAGTGGGTGCATTAGAAGGACCATGAAATGATTTTTTTTTAGTTTAGTTGGCGTTTACGTTGGAGCATCATAAAGCCATTCGCACCACAAATTTAGTGATGCGCTGTCTAACAAGGCCACTGCGGACATTTATATCATACCCTCCTTCATACCCCTTCCATGCCTCATCTCAACCCGCTGGCATTGTTGGCGATCACAGAGCTGTCACGAGCGCATTCGATGCTTTGAGCTTCTCCCAGTCTCGACCTGCGAGATTGCATGTCGACAGGTTCTCCGCAATCTCCACGACCATAACTGAGTGCTCCCAGCACCACGCATGTCATCTGGCAATAGGGACGATGATCGCCGAGTGGTTGATATCGACATGTGCTGCCAGCCAGCAGCCGATTTCATGCGCATTCCATACTCGGCCAGATCAGCAGCCTGGGTGCCGTCGCACTTCCAGTGGATGATGTACTGTGAATGGGCGGTAGAAAACACCTTTGTCTGAGCTGCAGTTACGTGCAGCAATTGGCAGTTTTGAAGTGTTGTAGTAAATTACGAAGTTGGCACAGAGAGCTTGAATCTGTCTGTAAATGAACTTCAGAACTTCGTCTGCCGGCCCAATGCCTTTATACAAAATCGTCGTAACCGTTTCGGGGTTCCTTTCCCACTTATTACAAGGCCTTTGGACATATAGTGTTTAATCATCAGCAAAAGCAATAACAATGTGATCAGCTGTGTGGGTTCACATAATGACATACGGAGGCATAGTGGGGTCCTTTGTCGATTCCAAAAGGACTATATAATTATGGCATTGTGGGCACTTAACTTAAAACTAGCAGTAGGCATTTGAAGATGCTTAGAAGCTGCCAATGTTACGCACACAGTCGTTAATTTCCTTACAGCGTGGTTGAGGCATGCACAGGGAACCGAAGCGAGGCTCGCAATCGAGAAGGCAATGCGCACGGGGCTCAATTACGCTGTTGCATCATTCTCTTAACGGCTTAGCTCAAGCGTAATCTAAGTTTTTTTATTCTTAGTGTTCATTCAAAGGTAGCTAATGGACCCCAGTCCTGTAGACCATTGACTACCATGCAAATAGTGGGTCTTGCATAGATGCAAAATGCTGTATGCCCGTGTGCTCAGATTTGGATGCACGTTTAGGAACCCCAGGTGGTCTAAATTTCCGGAGCCCTCCACTATGGCATCTCTCATAATCATATGGCGGTTTTGGTACGTTAAACCTTGCATATCGATCAAATCAATTGCATATATGCATTTAATTTTTTGGCCTTGCGGTTTCAAACCTTGCAGCCTTATTACACACAGAAAAAAACTTCCAATGGGGCCCTCCTGGCATTTCATGGACATAGCTACTAACTGCAATTGCCATCTTAATGAATAGTAGCTCTTAGGGAACCAACTGCATCAAGGATCAACTTGTATGTTACGCCACCTGTGTTACGCCGGTATGTGCCATTGGCTGGCTCTGCTTATGGAATTGTGTAGTGGAACATGCTGTAATTCAATACATGCTAAATGAAAATTAAAAACTCAAATGTTGAAAGTAGGTGCATTCGAGTGCATAGCGTCACTTGAACATGACTATCTCTGCTCTAAAAGGGTGTAATTTGGGGCATCCCTCTTCCACATCCGTAGCACACACCTTTTGGTGCCACCGGCCACAGTGATTTAGTGGTTGTGCGCTAGTCTGCTGACCCTGCTTGTCGCGATCTCTCTTACACAGCACTAAAAAAAAGCGTCTCCAAATAGGCAGGCCGTGTCGCAAAATCCTGAAGCAGCTAACACAATTTGAATCTGCGCGCCAATAGTTTATTGCCGTGAAGCTTCACAGTTTTATTTGCAAATTATGCTTGCTAAATAGCATAAAATACCTGCAAAACAAAGTTTTATAGTCAAATGCTGTTAGTTTAGGAAAGTATTATTCTTATGTTTGATATTTTTAAAATTGAGAAGGTATTGCAAAAAAAAATATTTTGTCATCATCATCATCACTAAAGCACAAGTCAACATGGCGATTCGCAGCCGTCAGTTGAGCGAGCTGTGCGGGCGAACTTCGCAGCGCGTCATGTAACGGCATCCTGTGCCGTCCCGTAAGAAGTAGCGTTCGCGCCGACTGTTCATTGCCATCCGTGAGAGTCGAAGCGACCATGCGGTTCAACGAGAAAGAGATGGCAACGCTCGCCGCTGGAGCTGCCGACAAAGAAGGCCGTCTGAACCACCGAAACTTGTCCTTCAGAGAAGGTGCGTCATTTTTCGAAAACCGGGCACATCATTTTTGCGATCGATTTGACGTGGTGTCACTTGGATATAACGATTCCTTTCACCTGGAGGTCTCGCGTAGCACCAAATTCCTCCGTGTCTATTTGCCACGGTTCTGACAGTTGACAGTATAACATGAAGATGTTTGCTCGTACTGTCCGCTATCGAAATACGCTGGAACTCATTAACGAACTGAACGTACTAGCAGACCTTGAAACGCCTGCATATTTCTGTTGTGGCTGTTTACATGCTTTTGGGTCTTCTTTTTTAAGCCCCAACTCTCTTCAGCCGTTGTGACAGTTTCACTTTACTTACAGACAGCTCGTGTAATGAGTTTGTAGCAGCTTTCGTACTTTGCGAGAATGCGTTATGGAATACCATTATGATCCATTTCTTGTTTTTTTTTTTCAGTTCCGCGTCCTGTCATTGTCGTTTCGCGGAGTTGACGCCGGAAGCCGTGTCGCGACTGCTTGACGGATAGCTGCGTGCGGCCTTTCTTTTGTTGCTTTTGAAACGCGAGATCTCTGAAAGTGTTGCTTTTCAAGGCGCTGAAGACGGCGTTTGCGAAGCGTCAGTTTTATTTATTTATTCAAAATACCTTACAGACCCAACAGGGCATTGCGTAAGGGGAGCATAAAAGGAATACATACATGAATTGGTATAATTTCCATACAAACAATAACATGAACTAAATGTCAGTTATTATGCAAGTCCTAACCACCGCCCGTTGCTGTTTTAAAGCTGGCAAGGTCGGTACAGCGAGACCTCGACACGAATGTCTTCCGTTAACGCTATCAACGTCGCGCCAACTGTTTATCATTTTCTTTTTTTTTTTTCTTGGCTGACTCGATTCAGCCTTGACAATGCCGCATATTCAAGGCTACAATTTTTGTCGCATGGCTTCGCCAAGTCCATTGTGAGCACATGCTTATGCAGCGCGACGTGGACGTGGTGTCTGCGTTAATGCTATCTCTACATTAATGCTAACTCTTTAAGATAGCATTAACGCAGATAGCATAAGATAATGCTATCTTATGTTTTCCTTGTTTGATACGATTCGCTGACGCGGTAACCTCGACAGTGGCGCATATTCGAACTCGACCAAAGCCACTGAAACGTCGAAAAAAGGAGGAACACTGATAGGCAGAAGCACACAGAGGTGGCTACTATCAAATCCTCCTAAGTCCGTAAAGAGCATGCGCAAAAGCACCCTGCTAAATCACCTCGCCACTCTTATCCAAGAAAATTGCCCTCTTTCCTGATCGAAAACACAGAAGCGCTGCTTACCAAGCTTACAAATATTGTTTGCAGCTCGGCACACGGAGCAGAACATGCGACATCAGACATGTCAAGAAATATAGTGCATGAGGAACGTGTGGTGTATAGCATTCCGCTTAGTTGTTATAAGGTATACATTGACAATCTTGACGATGTGCTAACGTTCGTTTGCGGGAGCACACAAGTCTTCCGAAGTCTCACGTCATGGTAATTAGCCGGGGCAAAAATATGATGCTGTTTTGTGTATAGACTAATTTGAGGACGTGGCTTGGCTGCGGCGGCTGCATTTTCGATGGAGGCGAAAATGCTGCAGGCCCGTGTGCTCAGATATGGGCGCACGTTACACAACCCTAGGTGGTCAAAATTTCCTTAGCCCTCCACTATGGCGTCTCTTATAATCGTATGGTGATTTTGGGACTTTGAACCCCAGATATCAATCAATCGAGGATGTGGCTTGATGGTACTGTATTGGACTGCAGCCTTACGGTTTTTTATTTTTAAGATGGAGTATAGTCATCATCAAGCTTGACACGAATGCTCCGCAGCGTGCCTTGCTATAGTTTGACGCTAGTGTCGCGTAGCTTTGTTTTTTTCCGAGATGTTACACGTGCATCTAGGCAACAATGCCCAAGGCTTCGCAACTGGCATCAGATAAAATAGTCCTGGTCACGCGTCGGAGCGTTCGTGTTAAGCTTGCTGACGACTGTACATGTCCAACACAGTGGTGTAGGGGTTATAGAGCTTGTTTGCTGACCCGTAGGTCACAGGTTCGATCCCGGTCATGGGGGTCGCATTTCGGTGAAAGCAATATGATGTCAGCGCACGTTAAAAAGCACCAGACAGTCAAAATTTCGGGAGCCCTCCCCTATGGCGTCTCATAATCGTATCGTGGTTTCGTGACATAAGACCTCGCACATTATTAGTGTGACGGTAGATGCATACGCATGACAAGAATTGCGTTGGTGTATTTGACATTTCATGACTTCATTACTTCACGCCACAATATGCAAAAATACCAGAACATTGGTTTAAGAGGCCTAAGTGCTTTACGTAATATTGTCTATAGCCTGAATGATGCTACTGTATTTCTATGCAGGCGCACAAGATCAGGTTAGCAGACCATCAGCTGTCTTTGGTCATTTCCCGCGGACAGTTCTCTATGTTGTTTGAAATGATGATTTAATGAGTAAACAAATACACTCTGTCGCTGACGTAGCACACTTATTCTTCCTGCAGTGTTCAAAGAACGGTGGTTCAAGTTGAAAGGGAACCTGCTGTTCTACTTCCGCTTGAATGAACACGGGGGTGTGTTTGAGAAAGAGGTAAGTAGGCCAATATTTCTTTTATATTTGGGTATCGTCAGCTTTAAAAGTACTATTCAATAAATATTGGACATCCAGTTATCCTGAACTTGTTTTGGTCACATCCGCTTGTGTTTTTTTTTTTTTCAATCACTGACCAGCATTTTTTCAAGGTACAATGCTTTTTTTGAGTGATGGTTGACTGATGTTTGGACAAAACATGTATAATCGAGAAATATTCTGGGAGGCAAACCTCGAAAGATTTCACCTTTGATTTGTGTACATACTTGGGATCACAAAGTATTGCTTATTTAATTTGTTGGTTGGAATAATTCTTGTGATATTAGCGGCAGCACATTTATAATTTTAAAAATGTAACTATACATTACTTACGGGAACTCTGTATTATCAATATCATATCATGTCAATAAAACCTTGTGAAGCACTTTTTTTTTTTCTCTCACCACAGCACTTTGTTATATAGAATGTTCAGCAGATTTAAGTTTTTGTTCTCTCAAGATTCGGCACACTCTCTAAGTGTGCTTCACTCTCAGTTTCTTTTTGTTTTCTTTTTTTCAGCCCGTGGGCCTCTTTGTCATCGAATGCTGCAAGGTTCAACACGAGCCAAACGTCGACTATTCATTCGCCTTTTCTATAGGTGCATATAGCGCTGGATCGCAAATTTTCGTGTTAAGTTTGACATTATTTATGTCGGGTGTGCTGAAGACGTTGTTTATGTGTGCTGAAGACGTTGAAGGTAGCAGCATTTGTAGAGTAGAAAGGAAATGCATCGTGTGCCTTCTTCACCTGCTGTGATAGCTCGGCATACAGGGTGTCGGGTTACAGCTTAACCCCTTTTTAAGAGACATTCATCGGGGAGCAGTTCTTGTCTTTTGTATGAAGTGTCTCTTATAAGCAGGTTATCACGTATGCATTTTCTTATCAACCCTTATTTTAGTGAAATCACACTGGTATCTCTTATACCATATTCTAAAATTAACTAGAAAAAACTCTGGTGGTTCTGTGATCATTTAGCGACCATGGGAATGATAGGTAGTACACAAATTTACTTAGTATTCATGCTTGTGGGTTTCGGACGCACTGGTGGCTTTGTTTATTGTGTTTTAGTTTTGTTTCAAAGAAAAGAACAGGTAATTTTGAACTTTGTGACCCGCTTCGAATTGGTGAGCCTAAAGGTTACGATGGGAAAGTGTAACTGCTGAACATCTGCCGATTGTTGTCTCGTCTCGTGACAAAGCAGCTCCAAGCCACGCCAAGCCAAATGGAGCCAAAAGAACGAAGATTAGACACATTTGTGTACTACCCATCATTCCCATGCTCGCTGAAGTGCCGTGTGTTGCAGCTCCCATAGACAATTAGCGCCAGAGTGTATATATGCGGCAAACTCCACGTCTTATACCCATCTGTCTGTTACATCAGTGTCTCTTTTAAAGGGGTTCATACCAAATTCATGATGAGCACGGTGCCGATTCTTGGTCGCTGTGGCTGCATATCGATGAGGCTGAAATGCAAAGAACACCTGTGTGCTTAGATTCAGGTGCACATTAAAGAACCCCAGGTGGTCAAATTTCATCTCCAAACCCCACTTTGACGTGCCTCATGCTCTTATTGCGGTTTTGTCACGTAAAACCCCAGCAATTATATTATTATTACATGTCTCACTGAAAATAGCTAACAGACCTCGGGAAACATAAAATCCTGAACCGGTAACCATGTGTGTAGATACGAGTTTGAATGGCAATTACCGCTGGTGAATGCAGGTAAAGGCTAGTCCGAACACGAGTGTCAGGCAACACAGGTGTGAACGAACGGTAGGTTTGGTGATCTCAAGGGGCGCTCGATTGCCCCATAAGACACCACACATCATCAGGGGGCTGGAAATATGAATGTTGGCGAGACTAAGTAAGTCTTGAGTACGCTCGTGAGAGTGCTTGTACGTGAGTGGATGCGAGCATAAGCTCGAGTGTGCCGTGAAGTGTGAATGAAAGGCGGTATGAATGCGAGTGAATATAGGTAAAAAAAAGCAGGTGGGGGTGAAAGCAGGAAGGAGTGCATGTTAGTGTAAAAAAAGCATTAGTGAACTTGAATGTGTAATTTACTTATATGTTATCGAGACATGAGGAGGCATAAAACAATGGTACACAAAAGTTTAGCATGTTCTGTGTCACAGCTGTTAGGACATTTGCCTCTTGCAAACTTGCATGTTCTAATTAAGGTGAATTTTTGGACAAGCTGAATGATTTTAGAGAACATTTACTTTTCTGTGGGATCAGTGGACTTTATGGAGAGGAGTATACAGGAAGTGAAACTGATTTGGTGTTAGGTTTCCTTTTGCATTCATATTTAATTAACTTAACCATTACCAATCATTAAAACTAGTATGAGTTGCTGAACTTCATTCTTGATTTGTCAGCTTGTCTAAGAGTCTGTCTAGAAGCTACAATAGGTGGCATCTTTCTCACACACAGTTCACTGGATCTCGTGGTGAGGAGGCACTGGACATACTTCTGATGTGTTCGAGGCACTCTAATAAATATACAGACTCTCTATCAGTAGCTTAATCTGTGGAGGTTGTGTTGCATTTTCGTCAGTGATTGCTTTCTCGTTTAGCGTTCTTGGACGACGCGGACCGAAGGCACCTATTCACGTGCACAACGCAGAAGCACTGTGATGAGTGGGTGAGCTGCCTACAGCAGGCTAGGTAAGCGATATCACTTTTGTCTCTTTGAGGAAATGACTGAACGTCACTTTGCACTTCCTCACTTAACTATGTTAGTGTTGTTTCTAGTGCGAAGGCAGTAAGAACTAAGCTCTTTTTAGCAAGATTACCAAAAGCTGGGGAATACTGTTTCTGCAATGCCGGCACAACGTTGTGGTTATGCTGTACTAGTGTAGGGTCAACTACTGCTTGCCAGGCTTGTGTGAATAGTGCATTTTAGGTTCGAAGTGAATAGTGATTATGGTCAAATAATTTCGAATCGAATTCAAATTGTATATGTATCGCATATTATAAAGAAAAAGGGGCATATTTGTCATGACCAAGCTAACTTGCACAATATTTTTCAACGAACACTGGTGTGCTGGTTTCATCGCAGCAGGACCTTGGTGGCATTAAAACGATGTTTGGATGGTCTTTGATTATATCATAGACGACTCTAGTGGCTTTTTTTACTATCCAGGCTATAACCACATAAAAAGGAATACGAAACAGCAGAAAACATACATGCCGCATGGTTTGCATTTTTATTTATCGCCCCTGAGAATTTGCACCTGGTCTTTATGTATTGCTGGTGTCGCTGCTGCCTTCTGAAGTTGTTTAGCTAGACTGTCTTTATCCTCAGTAACAGATTTGGCTGGCTTTGAAAACTGTGGCATGTTCAGATAATTTTTTTTTATTCTTGATGCTGGCCAATCCAATCACATTGTAGCCGTTTTCAGCTAGTCTTTCCTCTTGTGTATGGTGATAACATAGTCACCGTCCTAGTGACGGCCCAGACCTGCTAGTCCAGTGGGTCCAAGTTTTGGAAAACTGTGAAGCTAGAAGTTGCAAGGGACAGGTAGCCATTTTTCGGTCATGCATATGGCTTTGGCTGAAGCAGTCCGTGTGTAGAACTGCTATGCAGTGCAGTAGACCAACCGTCGGCTCGGAAACCTCTAGACACGTGGAGTTTGGCACGAGCTCGCGTAAAGTCCCCTTGAATTTTACCCTTTCGAGGCCTGCACATTCAGGTGAGACTGCCATTCTGATGGCATATGACCAATAATAGTGTTTTTTTTTTCATCAACACTGACATTGTTAGCGGTAAAAACAACTAGAAGTAAAGCCAAAGGGTGTAAGCTTCTAACGTATGTCACACACATGAACAAAACTGCTTTTAAATAGCTGGTCATTTCAAAGTACTCTCGTAAAGGTACACTCTTACCCTGTAAAAGCCACGATAGTAATGCTAGTGCACACCTTTCTGCTATTCAACTTCATTATCACTTCACACAACCGCTCAAACACTCACTCTCTAACTACATGTCCAACAGTACTCGCCAACTTATTTATCTATTTATTTCTTTTATTTATCAAATACTGCGGATACTGTTGTGATCCCGGGGTGCTGTGGTAGCGTGGTGTAGCTTCGGGTTGAGGAAACGACCGCTTACAAGATGGGGATACGAAAAACAAACAGGTTTATGGCACTATTTACAAATATTTACAGCATGAGGTTAAGAGTTCACAAACCACGAGCGTGGTGGTTGAACCGTTACTTGGTTCAGAGCCTTCACAAACTACGAACGTGGTGGTTGAATCTTTACTTGGTTCAGAGCGACGTCCTGCACTCTGCGGCGCCGTTATAAGCCCTGTCGGGCTCCTCCTTCTTCAGTGGAACACCAATCACACACACACACACAACAGGTGAGGGGTACGAGCATGCACGGAGCACGTGAACATCCAATTTTGAGTCAAGATCACTGCACTGAAAGGTGGCGCCAGAGGGGCTCTTGCTCGTCGTGTGTGTCACTGGTCGAGGGGTCCCAAGCTTCGGACAGCAGACATCAAACGGTCCGCCAATCTGTCTGCTCAATTAGCAGGGCACTTTGGGGCGGCGGTCGCCGTTTCTTCAAAGGAAGACGCTGTCTTTGTTGTCCCCTCTGGAACGGCTTACAGCTTCGTGGCGACAACACGTCTCATCCGCCGGCTAGCAGGGACAATACCTGGCGGGCATAGGCATCCGGCGAGTCGGCTACTTGTTTGAAGATTAAAAGAGCGCCGCTCCCCCGTCAGCTCTCGACGCTGGTTCCAAGAAAACCTGGGTTCCAGGCGTGGGAACGTGGCCCGGCTACGCTTCTCAGCGACAGCATGGCGCCTACCGATGGCGGTCATAACAATACGTAGTCCAAGCAAGGAGGGCAAATAAAATGGTAGAACAGTGAAACATGTCAAAAACAAAAGAATAAATGAAACAAGAACAACGCTATACAAACAAATTAATAATAATCAGCATTTTGGTCTCCATTCGATTACGTAATTCCATTCCGTTATTGTACGAGGGAAGAAAGAATTTGTAAATGTATTCGTTCTTGTGAAGTATGGTGTTAATGCATCTTGTCTACGGTGACGAGTGGTTCGGGTTAAGGGGGGACGCGGCCCTTGAAAACCGAAAAATCGCGAAAAAGTCGGTTTTTGAAAAACCACATTTTTGGGTTGTATGTCTCATAAACTACCTATTTTGTAATTATAAGCACCTAATTCAACCGCAAAGGGCAAAAAAAAATACTATTTTCGAGGCCGCCGCGGCGTCCAAAACAGGCGCAAATCCCGAAATCAAACCAAACTTCGCGCGCGCGCCATTCCCGGACCATGCGGTCGTCCCGCGCCATCTTGGTGTTGTTTTGACCGTGAATTCTTTCTCTCTCGTTCGCCGCCTTGCAAAATGGCGTCGGCAGCACAGTTGAGACGCTATTGGCGTTTTCCCGCGATGCGATGCGGAGCGCTGATTGGCTAGAGCAGCGCATTCATATCTCGCGGGAGAAGGCGTGCCCGCCATTGGCTGCTGTGCAGCAGCGGGGGCGGTCGCTCCTCTCGATGGCGCGTTCAGCGCGCTCGCTTCGTTGTTGCTCTCTGCTCCGTCCGCCTCGACAGACGTCTGCTTACGAGCCGCTCTTCGCCTTGTGCTATCTTTTCGATCATTTTCTCTCGTTTTTTTTTTTCTTTTTGCACTAGTTCTGTGCCTTTCGTCTTTGTTGTTGCGGGCGATGCTGGCAACGAAGCCGAAGTCAGTGCGGAAGTCCGGTGCGCGGAGGCGCGCTATGCGGCTTGTACGATCATCGAAATTCCGCTATTCTGCTGCGGGTGCCGACTGCGTAGACGCTTGCAGCGACGGAACTGTGTTGTCGGCTGTCGCCAGTCGAGAATCCGACACATCGAGTGTGGCTGGAGCCGCAAATGCACCGAGTGTTTCCGAGATCGCCGGGCTCGACACGTGCTCCGAATCGATGCCATCCAGTGTGACACCGAGTGCTTCTGATATCGCCGGACCCAGCACTTCGTCTGAATCAGTGCCGCCATCGAGCGTGAGTGGACCGTCGCTTCATTTGCGGACGCGTTTCCTAACGAAGGAAGAAATCGATGCGAATGCGAAACGTCGTGACGCCGTTCGCGCTGAACTCGAGTCTACGCCGGCGACGCAGAAGAAATTTCAACTGATGCAGCCGGCTCTTGCACCTGCAGTGACAAGTGAGGGCGAACATTTTTCGCTCGTTCAAATGAACATCTTTAACGTCGTGCTCAGCCGCACAGTGTGCAAAGAATGTTTTAAAGGTGCTATGACTGTCCGAGAGAGCACCAAGCTTGGACTTGCAACAAAACTTGAAGTCGTGTGCGCCTCTTGTGGCACCGTCGATAAATTATGGACATCACCCCGCAAAAAGGACACGCAGGCCTTCAATGTAAATGTCCGCGCCATAATGGCTATAAAGCAAATAGGCAAGGGGCAAACACCTCTTAATGACTTTTGGGCTGCCATGAACGTCTCTTACAGTGGTCTTCACCACAAGACGTTTCAAAAGCACTTGAAAGAGACGTTCAGGAAGCCAGAGGCCACCGCTTTGGAGAAGTTTTATGCTGATTCTACCACAGCAGTGATCAAAACATATAAAGAAATGGACCCCAGCTTCTGCAAGGACATCACCATAGTGTACGATGGCACATGGCATAAGCGGGGTCACACATCACACATCGGAGTGGAATCGGTAATTGACTTCTTTACAGGTCTCATCTTGGATGCTGTAGTTCTTTCAAACCACTGCCTTGGATGCCAAACAGGGCCCAAACCTGGAGATGCAGCATACGAAAGCTGGCAGAAGCACCACATTTGCCAGAAAAACACAGACGCAAAATCGGGAAGCATGGAAGTGGAGGCAGGCTTGACTCTCTTTGGGCGGTCTGTATCCAAGCATGGCCGGCCTGCGGTACACCACTCTTGTGTCCGACGAAGACAGCCGTACCTTCGCTGCCCTCACAGAAGAGAATGTGTACGGGCTAGTACCAATTATAAAAAGAAGAATGTCTGAACCATGTTCAGAAAAGGATTGGAAGTGCTCTTCGAAACATTGTGCAGAAAAGTGATAAGCCACTGAGTGGAAAGGGGAAGCTGACTAAAGCCCTCATTGAAAAGCTGACAGGATATTATGGTTGGGCCCTGAGAAACAATTCAACTGACCTAACAGCCATGCAACGTGCAGTGATGGCAACATGTCATCACGTCACATCGACTGACCAGGACCCTCACCATGAACTTTGCCCAGAGGGGGCTCAATCGTGGTGCCGCCATAGAGCTGCAGAGACAAAGCGTGAGCCACAGCCAAAACATAAACACAGCCTACCGGACTATGTCGCTGCAGCTGTGCTGCCCATCTACGAAAGACTGTCACAAAAGTCGCTTCTTCAGCGCTGCCTGGGAGCGAAGACACAAAATGCATCAGAATCATTCCACTCCATTCTGTGGTCTCTGATGCCGAAGGAACAACACTCATCCTTGATCGCGGTAGAAACAGCACTGCATGAAGCAGTGCTGCGCTACAATGCCGGCTGCTGCAAAGCAACCCAAGTGATATCGGACTCCATTGGACTTCAACCAGGTCATCTGGCCATCCAGCGAGCTCGTGAAAAAGACGCTTTATGCCTAAAAAAGAATTTTAAAAGACACCAAGAGAAGATGGAGGCCAGGCAAAAGAAGAAAAGAGTGCGCCAGGACACTTCTAGCTACTGTGCTGGAGCTTTTTGAAGAAAACACGTGTTTTGAACTTTCTCGGCCTGTTTTCTCAGAACGGATTTTTTTGCTAGTTGTGGTGCTGAGGAAATCAAGAACTCGAAAACCGTTCATCAGATTTGTGTGCCGTTTTTTTTATTCTGTTCCTGAATGACCTTGCAAGGGCGTAACAAGCTCCATTTTTTGAAAATTGGTGCTGTTAATTTATAATAAACAATTAATTTTTGATGAATCTGGTCATTGCTGTTTACATCAAATTCAAAGTTGCTTGAAAATTTTTGGGGGGGGGAAATTAAAAAAAACGGCTTTGTAGCGCCCTGGGATAGCTATCAAGTAATGACCACAATGAATTTCAGCTTTCTACTATGTCCTGGGATTTCTCGCGACTCTTCCTCAGGCACCCATGTGAAGCACCCAGTTAAACCTCAATAACTCTGGAACTAAGAAACACAGCTTCATGAAACTTAGCAGTTGTGCTAGTTTTGTTGTAGTGAACAACCCCTGAAAGTTTCATCCAGATATCTAAAAAAATAAAAAAGTTTGGTCTCCAGGGTAGCCTCCCCCCTTAATAGGGGCATATATCGAATGTACATAATCTATGTCTGTTTATGGCTCATTTTGGCAACATTTTTTTAGTATATGTGTATACTTTAGTACATTTGGCAAAATACTGTTTGACGAGAGTCAAACGGCATTGGAAACGCCTCACACTCATCATTTTGTTTAGACACAAATGTATCTCCGTACCACCGACCCAACCTGTTTCACCAATGCTTGCCTTCCAGCTATGAATACCAGAGGGGTCGCCTGCTCTACATGCAGCAGAAGATTTTGGAGCTCACAGGAAGGGTGAGCTCAAGTTTGTTTTCTCATACAAATGTTTTTGCTTTTGAAAGAAAACCCAGCCTAAAGCTAGGCCAAATGAAACTTGTCCCACATATGTCATTAACGATCACTGCGAACTTTATATTGACTGTTAAAAGTGTATTTGGGATTATGACTGCCTAAAATTAGTTTTGGTGTAATGATTTTGAGGTACTTCGTGTGAGCTTAATCAGTACAGGAAACATCTATCATATTGCTAAGCTTTGCGAAGTTGGTAGGACAGGGAAGTGCTGGGCTGTTGACAATAGGCACTGAATGGTGGGTGCAGGACAATACACAGAGGGAAGTTTCATAATTTTCACTGGCCTCAGGTCAGCACTGGGCAACTCTTTCCGGTCTTTTCAGAACACTGTCAACCAGGTAGTGTCTTAGACATTAAAGAGATCTGAAATGCATCAGTAATCTGAAATTATTAGTGAAGGTTGATGCAATTCGTAAGGAACTCAAGCCCCATGTAGTTTATTAAAGTGCTTGCTTACCAAACTTGTATTTTCGTCTTCACTCTTTCGTTACCACGCTCATAGAATGTGGGTCTCCGGTGAACCAAACGCGCCGAGCGAGAACTGAAAAACACCGGCCCTGCCAAGAACTTGTTGCACCATCTAGCATATTCTTTAAGCACTAATGTTTCGTTTCCTGGGTAGTTTTGGGAGTTTTTTGTTTTTTTCTGAATGACAGCAACTTTTAACAGACTCAAAGGTAGCGGTTCGCTTGGTTTGTTCACGAAAATGGCTGGCAAAACGGTAGCGAGACTTTCTTGAAAATGTGCCTTGAACAAGTCTGTTGTATCCGAAAGCAAATTTTTCTGCTGTTTCTAGCAGAAGTGACTCTGAGGATGATGTCAAACAATGAAAATATAGTTCGGATGATGAAAAACCGCAGAATGGTCCCGATTGTAGTCAGGTGTAGATCAGTACGTTATCTTTTTGTCACATTGTTTCTTTTTTACTTAAATTGAAATGTCATGACGATGTTTGCACTATTATAGTTTTTATGAGTAGCTTCTCAACAATATATGTTGAAAATTTGGCGACATAACTTTCAACCAGCCGAGAGTAATGTCAAGCTCAAGAATGTTACCCTACCGCGACATGATAGTAGTGTTGCGCGGTGAAGAAATATGTGTCGCAAGGAAAAATCAGCGATTCAGGCATTTTTTTTTCGGACCGGAAGTAATAAAAAGGATTTATATTAACACAGATCAGTGTGCGTGTTTGCAAATTCTATAGCAAGTCTTATGCCAAAGATGATGGTTCTTGGGAAATGGTCACTGCCCCAGAGATCATGAATTTCATTCACCTGTTAACTTGTATGGGCTTCGTCAAGTTTCCAAGACTTGCAGAAAACAAGTAAATTGAAATTAAGTCCTACTTACTGATTGAAGAAACATCTAAAATACCAAAAGTGCTAAGTTCTCAGAGGACAAGCAATACAACCGGACAATGCCATTTGTGATGCCAGCGGCACAACTTTAGTAAAATATCCTTTTTTTTTTGCATCTTAGAGTTCTCAAACATGGGCCCACCTATTTGGATGAACTGAGACGTTAAAAATAAAGACTTCATTGTAGCTTAAAAGTTAGTAATACTTTTATAACATATATGCTTGGAGCCTAGCTTTAGGATGTCTTGATGCCGTGTTCAGCGCTGCCTTTTGGTATCTGGTTCCTTTTTTTTGCTATTTAGTATAATTTGCTAAAATACCTATAACTCAATAAGAAGTTCATTCCTCTTCTCAACTATTTTTGTTGTATTTCTGGATTTGAAAAAATTTTTAGAGGAGAAAAACATAACCGTGTAACCTTATGAAATACTCCTGTCTTCGCTGGGCTGGCGAAAAATTTGTAACTGGTATGTTTCTTGATCTAGGTCATTCAAACTTTCTGCCAGGACTATTGAGCAAACATTTTGTACAGTGTGGAACTTACTTAAAAGGGTTCCAGATATAACGACCTACTGTGGTCATCACGACCATATTTCGGTGCACTTACGATTTTCCTATGGCACCCATTGAAACTGCGTCTGCATATAGCAGATAGTTTTTCGAAGCCTCCTGCTTTTACTATGAACACTTCCGGCATCGTACAGTAAAAATATAGCGCATATACGAAGCGAAAGAACAAGTTAAAACGGGCATTGTAAAGCATGAGAGAGGGGTGGGCTCGCACAAGCCCCATTGCTGTTTACTTGCGATGAAGATAACATAGACAGCGGGTGAACACCGCTTGTACATTTCGGGTGTTGGGAGCGAGGTCGCTCACTTTCTAGGCATTTCTTCAGCGGCAGAAAGTCAGTGAGGAAAAGAAAACTGGCATGGGTGTCACCGTATCAGAAGACACAGGCACATACATTTGCCGCCGCAATGTTTCGAAATTTCCTTAGCCATCTTGTTCTTTTTGTATAGACATATACGAGATGTCCTCAGAGTTTCTGTTCGCCTGAAGGTCTAGAACTTCTAGACCTTCAGGCGAACAGGCACAATGAAAACGGTGCAAGAACAATGAAAACGGTGCAGCAATAAATATGAAGTCAGGCGCGCCCGTGCCCTTCTTTTTTAACACTTCGAGAAAACCTCCTGCTGTGTGTAACCACTGCTTTGCTCGTCTTGTACACTCCCAATTCAGGGCCTCCAGCTTCTGTCTACAGTCTCTCACATGCTTTGTATCTTCCTGATTTTGAACGCAGTTATTCAAATAAAATTGTACATTAATTCTTTATACATTTAGTTGAACTTGATAGGCAATAGAAGGACCACTTCAATACTGCGAATGGCTTGTTAGCATGCTGGAAATGGTACACCACTGCTTGTGTGCTGTGTATATCTTCAGATTTACTGTGCCCAGAGGAATGCTGAAGTAGCAGGCGTAGCTGTACCAGCACTACGGTCGTCATTCTGCATACTTGCAAAATGGGAAAGCACTGCGCATTATCAAAACTATTACTAAAACATACGAAATGTGGCCAATTTTTTGCACGGGCACGAAAGGGTTAATATAATGGTGATGCCTTTTGTTCTCAGGACCCTTTGGCAGACTTTATCAGTCGGCGAAATGGCAATGCTCCGGGGAGTGTACAGGCCATCCAGAAGGCACCTGAAAGCAACAGCAGTGCTGCGGGCAAGTTCTTTGCATTCCTTAAGACGTGTAGCGTGTTCAATCAGTGCTTTTGCATGCTGCAGCTGTTCTTGGGGTCAGCGTGTTGGCATTGCTTTGCTTGCTCAGTTGCAATCTTTTCTGCTTTAACGTTTGACTAAGAACAGTCTTGGAATGTTTGCTTGCTGCTTTTGCACAGCCTTGAAGTGCTTATTACTATGTTTTTGTTTTCTCATTTGTTTATGCTGTCTAATTTAATTATTGAAGTAGACGCACAGGGTTGCTGATTATCTAGGTTGACCTCAAATTGTGTGGTGTCATATTAGCGTATGAACGTAGCCATTCCTGCTGTTAGTTGTTCTATGTTCTTCGACCTAAGCATGTTGAACCGTATATCTATTCCCTGTACCAGAATTGCTGAAGCTTAGTCACCGGCTTGGTAGCGTAGTGGTTAAGATGCCTGACTGCTGGCCTGAAGGGGTCGCAGTCACTCACCGTAACCATTGTAATCCTGGGCTTAAATCCTGGCTGCGGTAGTTGCATTTTGATGGATGGGAAATGCTTGAGGCCTATGTACCTGGATTTGGACGCAGGTTGAAGAACATCAGGTGGTTGGATTTTCTGGAGTCTGCCGCTACACCATCTTGTCATAGTCATACTGTAGTTTTGGGACGTAAAACCCCCAACAATTATTATTTCCTGATGCTGGGTCATTGCGAGTTTGAAGGTGCTGCTAATAGCAGATGTATTGGAATTTCGCTTATAAAGCGCTGCTTTCTTTTTCAGATGCAAAAAAGAGGACCACAATATGGCACTGATGGTGTGCCACGAGGTCACACTTCACTGTGGTCTCGCATTGCCATCACCATCGTTCTCGGCGTCGCATGAGTCACACGCTGTGTGAAGCATGATGACCCTGCTTCCACCAGTCATCACGACTCTTCATGGGTGAAGTGAAGCCGTGTTCGTGACTTTTAATGTGAAATGCTACAATATGTTTGTGTGTCTGTGCTGACGTCCCACCACTTGTGCCTACACATCGCTCGTCTGAACCTTATTAGGCTGCAATGTGCGTGCTCTTCAACTCGGTAACCCTGTTGATTGTTTCTAATATACTAGGTAGCATCAAATATTTCATGGTGCACCTTATTAATGCCACTTGCCAAGTTTGGTTGTTGATAGCAGTGCAGATTTCATGGAATAAATAGGCTATGCAGCGAGCGGGGCACCTAGGGGCCTACCTTATGCACAGAGTGATGAAGCGGTGCGCCAAAGATGTGTTCACTTACGTTCTGTTTTGCTTTCGTTAGTTGAATTCAGTTACCCAGGTCAAGTAATGTATAACCATTTGCTGAGCACAGCTTCCTGTTTGCTGAATGCTGAAAAGCGTCTTGACATTTTCATCTCAGTCATCAATGTCAACTCATTTTTCATAGTTAAGATAGGAATAGGTACACAAGAAAGAGTAGGAATGGAAGTATCTATCGCTTTTATGCAACTGTGGAAGAGTGATAAACTGTTTCTGGTTGACAGCTGCCAGCACAAGTCATGTAGACTATGGCATGAAAAGAATCAAATGACAATCTTGATGGTTCAGTGGGCCCCTCTTGTAGCTGTAGGCTCTCTGGTCATTAACGTCGAGCTTATCAATACTAGGTTTTCTTCTTAATTAGACCTACTTGATATAGCAAAGCAGCCAATTTAGTAATGCTTCTAGTGTTCTCTTTCACCAAGCAGCGTCACATTAGTGGAAAATCCAGTGAGAGCAATAAAACTATTGCTTTAGCAGAACATATCACCATGACTGATCCCAAGTTATTTTAACTTTCACTGCTATTGTCCAAAATCTACATTTGAACATGTGAGCATTAAAAATATCAAAGTTGGGCTGTGGAAATGCACTCAAACCTTGATATAATGAAATATCAGTGTATAACGATGTAGATGAAGACTGGTCTAGCAGTATATATAGTGTTAGGAGTATACCTTTATAACAAACTTATGGATATAGCGAACTTTTGTATTTAACAAGCTTGCTTTCATGGAAGGTGCAACTTTGTTACAATGAGGTTTGATTGTACAGACTTTTAAGGCCATATAGGAAACTGTTAAAGTAGGTTTTGAGCACTGAATAGTCAGTTTTAGAGTTAATGTAATTTGTTGTTTGCGTCCTGGTATTCATAACATTAGCTTGAGGAGCACAAGAACAAAATACACTTGGAACTCTTCAGAGTGTGCAAATGATGGTCGTGTAGTCAGCAAAACATAACTGCAGGAATGAGATGTGCTGGCATGAAAGTTATACTTCTGCGTTTATTCAGGGATTCTTTCAGTGCAGTTCACATCTTTAAATGTTCTTAAACGCTTAACTTTTTGGTTTTTGAGTCTTTCCTTCTAAAAAGTTTATTTTTTAACTTGATGTTGTATACTTTGCTTTTAAAAAGCAAGTTTTGATTCATAAAAACAAAATGGAAGTGTATATCGAGTAAAATGAGCAAAATGAAGTTTCTTGTCCCATGGCCTATTAGTGTCTATTGTGATTTGTGAAATGTTGTCATGGCCGAGAAACTGGCAAATAATACACGTTAGGTCCACAAAGTAAACTTCGTTATCTGCATAATGAGCACCTCAAGAGCTGTAGAGTGACTAGAAGCTTCTTTACTGCGACAATGCATGAGCAGCACGTGCACTGCCTTCACTGGACAACATTGTCCAAGCAGAAGTCGCAGAAAAATGTGTAATAGCAGTTAAAATACAGGAAATTGCCAAGCACGTGCTGCCATCTGTGAAGCAACTCACAAACTAGCCTAGAAAAACTGAGTCTCGTATATAATGCTCATAAGGGGATATCTGAAGAGAATGATCCCCGCTCGTCCAGAATTGTTTGGGCACTGTTTGACAAGGTTGATTAGCGCTCTTCCAAAACAGTCAAGGGGTTAAACTTCAAAGAAAATGTTTGCTTGCGTGTAGCTGTTGTTTGATTACAAATTTTCAAAATTCACACAGCTCTAGTCAAGATTTAATAAGCTGTATATGTGGGATTTTAGTGAAACCATTATAAGGTGCTAGGGGCACAGAGGGGGATCTGTGCAAGGAACATAATGAGGTAAAGGATGTGAATTGAAGCAATTGAAACATTCTAAACCTGAAAGGAAAAGTTGACCAGCTGTACGTTAAATATAAACTGGAAGTGTACCATGCATGGCCCTGCGGTCAACCAAAGGTGATTAGGATTGGATTCAGAAGTAAAATTAAGACTGAATTTGGTAGACGAAAGTCTTTTAACTGCAGTTAAATGTGACATGGAAGTCGCATGCAGGAAAAGAGAAGGGAAACTCATGGGGTGGGGAGAAGTTCGAAGCGATGTAAAAAAAGTCGGCAAACTGCAGATTGACCTGCGACGGTAAATTGGTGCGATTTGGTGCCGGCACATTTTTCTCTGATTTGTCGGTGAATCACCACACCTAATGCATTTCCCCATTTACATATATGCTAGAACTTTCTGGTAATGTTTAACGATTCCTATAGCCAACTGCTGAACTACAAGTTTGCTCTCTAGCAAAAAGCGCAATGCACGTGGTACATTTGTTTGTCTTTCATGTTTTTCACTCGGTTATTGTGGCGAAGTTGAAGAACACTTCGGAGCTACTATTGACAAGCTATGTCCCTAACACGGGTAAACTCGCACCATGTTTGGCCTTCTTCTTCTTTTCATTGGGAAACTTTGTAGTTTAGTTCATTCTCATCACGCAGTAACGCACAGTTTCATTTGAATCACTCTGTAATTTAAGCCATGGTCACTGCGAAATCATTTCTTTTTGCATTTTGGTACAAGACACACGATTGAAATTGGTTCTTTCCCAGAAGCGGCTTTAATGGGACACTAAAGAAAATGTCAAGCAAGATCAGACTGAGCTCTTTCAGAATCTTATTTGCTGTGAGCCATGATAGCTTGTCAATATAAGGCTCAGTTTGAAAGTGCAGGTTCTTCCCTGTTCACAGCGGAGACGCTTCAGTAGGGGAGATACATTTAGATGAACGTAAAATACCTTGGTTGATTAAAATATTCTGAAATATTTTACCAAATATGTCTCATTATCGTGCGGTGGTTATGGTGGGTTAAACCCCAGAGTGTAACTTAAAAATTTTGACCTTATTTGCATGTGCCATTAAAAAGTTCACTTGCCAAGAAGGAGGTTTTATCCTTTATTAACACTGTGCCAAAGCCATAGGGGTGATCTTGTATACTCAAGCCTCATTATAACGAAGTTACATCTTTCACAAAAAAATTTTGTTATATATGAAAATTCTTTATAGAAGCATATTCCTGACACTATATTTATGTCAAGAGTATTATTTGTTTACTTCATAATAAACAATATTTCATTATATATTTTGCACTGGAAAACGTCAAGATGTTTGCTATAATAGCTGCTTGCTTTTCAAGGCGTTGTATACACTTTGTTTATCCACGAGTAGCCAACCTTGAGCATGCCTTGTCAAGGTCCACAAACATCACATGGATTTGGGGGGGCTGTCAACTGGTTCTTTGATAGCTTTTGTGGCTTGCACTTGCAATAGTTCATATTATGGTCACACTAACTTGTACTATAGTACACGTAAGTGTGACATGACAGTTAACTTGCTATTTCTCTCTAGTGTCCCTTTGAGGTATTTTCAGCACCGGCTGACTGGTTCAAATCTAGCGTGACCTCGTATCGTAAGCGGCTTGGTCTCCATCGTTTGGTCTCGTATGCACCATCAGTACATTCCTGTAGGAATGGCACTTCAAGTACCTGTATCGCAGAAACCGACATTTCACGACTTTGCTGTTGAGAATCACTGTCTCCGTGGCATTGCTGTGTGAATATGTATTTCGTGCCTTTGTTGCCACATGCCTCATAGAAGCACTTGTGGTGATCACTAGTTGCAGTGTGTCCCAAATATAGCATTCTCACTACCACAGTCATTGTACATGTAGTGTACTCTGAGGCGAAAGCTAGCTAGATGACACAAATGAATGATGCGCACAGAAGGCACTGATCACACTTTGCAGAATGCTTGTGTACTAGAAACTTAAGATGTTAGGCATAAAAATGGCCTTGTAGCATAACACACACGAGAGAGATACACAAAATGCCTACGTCTTCTGTGTGCCTCCTTTTCTCTGCGTATGCTGAACCAGTGTCCAGTTTTTTTTTCCTAACATCGTATTCTGTTTGCCACATATTGAAAATATAAGGAGGCTTTTTCTTGATAGACTTGACTACACCGAAGAAAGCAAAGCTGTAAATAGCAGCGAATGCAGGCTCATCCATTAGATTGTCTTGACATGAGTTTGAAGACCTTGCAAAAAATAGGTGTGATCCTGACGTGTTCTTCTCGATAAAATGTTATCAATAGTTTCACATTCTATTGTAGTAAATGTGAAGCACAATTTTCTTGCCTTCTCAGTTTGTTAGTACGAAGGGCATCGCTAAATAGGAAAAAAAAAAAAAGAGTGAATGCTACTGCTCAACTCTTGGCTCCAAGGCTAGTGCACATAATTCTTAAGGCCAACTTCTAGGCTTGTGCGAATATTTGAATGGTTCGAATATTCGAACGAATAGTTGAGCATTCGAATTCGCTTCGATTCGAATTTAAATTATTGAATATTTTTGAAGTATTCGCAAGGAACGGATAGATGTTTATTAATCCGCTTGTCACCGCTTGTAAAGGTACCTTCACTGCAATGTGGTAGTGCTAAACCGTGAAAGCACCTACACAGGGGAAATTAACTTTGCCAAGAAGCCCTCTTTCAAATTTAAAGGGGCCCTGCTACACTTATTGAACGTAGTCAAAAAATGCTGCCGATCGGTATTTGAGGCTACTGAGATTACGCGACGCAAATGTTACAGCGCAGCACGCGGCCTGTAATTCACAATAAATTTTCAAAGCTTAAAAATGCTTTTTTCCCTCGGCAAATGACACTACAAGCTCAAAAATCACTTCTCACAGCCATTGTTTGGTTTGAGCATGGCGCGCTCGTCGTTACCGGGGCCGCCGTGGGAGGCCGCCACTTGTCCACGAGTTTGTGCGTGATCACACTGAAAAGCAGCGTATTCGAAAAAAAAAAAAAAAAGGTGCTCAAGGTCACGAAGTGAATGTGACGTATTTTCTTTCGCCGTGACATTCCTCCCCGCTTAACTTCCAGCTATTTCGTCGGGACAAGAAGAGAGAATGCAATTGCAACGTGCGACAAATTTTTGGAACTCCGCTCGTACTGGACTAATTCTAGAAACTTTGCGGCGGTATATTTGTGAGGCAGCAAGCATGTTTTCGAGCTCCATGGCAAAGCTTGGCACACTCGCAGAGCTGTTATTTGTCATATGTAATTACTAAGCCTTTAGGTAGCTTCTGTGCAGGCTCTGCTTACAAATACATGTACATGGGAGTTGTTACACAAATGCAAGCACACCACCTCGAGTATTTTCAATGTGCCGAGAGCGCTGCCATGTCTTTGAGGCCGCACAAAGTTAATTGGTTTTAAACATTCAGAGTTCTGCATTGCTTCTCTTGAGTGATAACAGTGGCTTTTTCCTAGTTTTGGAATCGAAGATGTATTCTTTGAAGCTTTTTATGATACGTCTTACTGCACTTCAAACAAATTTTCACTGATCATGCTCTCATATCTACATTGTCTGGAATTAGCTTTTTTTTTACATAGTTACCAATTACTTTGCAGTTCATCTTTAGGTAGTGTGATAACTGTGTAAGCATTTACTACTCTTACATGACTGTGAAATGAAATATAATTTGTTGTTTTACTTTGTTGTTGATGAGAGTTTTCACTGTGGTATTGTGCGAGCAACCATTGTGCCATAATGTTAAAAGTCCAGATTTGCTTTTATATGTCATCAATAAACATAGTAAAACAATATTGTTAGGACATGCTGGTTTTAATCACTGTGTGATAGTTTAAAAAGCTTTAGTAAGTGGCTTAGAAAATTTTATACACTAATACTCTTGTTACACAGGCAGCCTAACCTCTAAAGCTTACCAGTGGTTTAACTCTCTCAACCATTTAATCTAAACCGTAAGCTGCTATAGTTACACGGACTATCCTAATCTTGCCCGTCACGGTGGTCTAGTGGCTAAGGCACTCGGCTGCTGTGCTGCAGGTCGTGGCATCGAATCATGGCTGCCGCGGCCGCATTTTCCATGGAGGCAAGAATGTTTGAGGCTCGTATACTTTGATTTAGCTGCACGTTAAAGAACCCAGGGAGGCCGAAATTTCTGGAGCCTTCTACTATGGTGTCTCTCATAATCATATGGTGGTTTTGGGACGTTGAACCCCACCAATTATAAATCATGTATTATCCTTATCTTGTTCAGTAGCATAACATCGTCTGTACTGGTTTCATATTGAGTCACCTTTTTTTAAACTTCATTACGTCAGGCAAATGGCATTTTTAAGAAATAAGGTTGAAAGAAGTTAGCATTTGAACGAGGCCCATGCTGCATTCAACTAATGTACCTTTTTTTTTTTATTACCACCTTGTTAAAGGCCAGTTACAGTGGCACTGTGGTTACCAAGCTCTATTAGTGCTGAATCTCGTTTATAGTTCAAAGAATCACTGGACATCTTGTGCAGCTGTGCTAACTGCATTTGGTGACAACAGTGGTTACGTTAATTGTAGGTTTGCCTGTGTAACAGGAGTATGAAAGTCAGTTGCTGTCGATGTAGATTCTGTGCTGTTTAAGCTGGTTGGCCAGGTATCCTTCACAGTCAACCGACAGTGGTCGAACTAGAGTACTGTATAGGAGTAGGACCAAGTTTCACCCAGACACAAGCCACACTGTTTTTCTTTTGTTATTTCACAATCACGGCTTGTCATATCACTGGACAATGCGAGTAAGTGAATACTCATGGCTTTTCGGTACAGTATTGTAATGGCATTTTAAGCAGTTGTACATATGTTTGTTGAAATTGATCGTTAACAGAGCCAGTAGTATACTATGTTGGTGAAAGCCCAGATGGGTTTTCACTGTGTTTTGTAAATTGTAAATATTTGACAGATGAGGTGTATTTTGAATGGCACGACTTAGTTAATCTGTCCACATTAGCACTTCTCAGTGAGGAGATTCTCAGGCAGGGCACCTCCATAGTGGAAAAAAAAAAAGAAGAAATATGGTTCTCATTGATGTTGCCGAAAATGTCTGTAGTATGTCTTAATCTGACTTTTAACGGTGTTGCCTTTTTGGGACCAATAAATAGTAAACATGAAAGTGTGTGTTCATTGTGTTTGTTTTGGTTCTTTGTGCTATTTGTAGGATCGTTTGATATACTGCGATTTTTTCTGGTGCATCCAAATGGAAGCAATGACTCCTACTTCCGGAACTTGTGAGTATGGTGCACGTTTTGTTTGCAAGAAAACATGACATCATGACGATTCAGCAGTGCCAGTGCTGCCTTTCGTTTTGGTGTTTGAAAGAAATATAGCCAACCTCGCGAGCAAGCCATTTTGTGTTTAATGCGACAAAAGAAAGTAAAGCTAACCTGATGCAAGACTTGAGGGGTTTCGGTGTGGCACTCTCAGTGGCTGTGTTGGTAAACTTGTTATGTTCACCGTCAATTATTTTTTTCTTTCTCAGTCGACGTAGTACCGCTTGCCCCCCTCCCTTTAAAAACTTTCAGCATCTCGTGTAGTTTTGCTCTGCCTTAGCGATCAGCACACGTTTAACAACATTATGATTTTGTGTGTGATGACTTCACAAGTTTTGGCTATCTGTGCCGTCATCTAGCCGTGATCTCTCATCGCGTGACCTTTGCATCATTGCTGTTAACCCCAATTGTTAATTTTTTTGTTTGATGAGACCTCTAAGGGTTTTTCCTTGAAATATAACCCAATTCAACCACAACCGTTAATTTTGTACTAGCTTGCCGAAGCGTATCTCAGAGGCCACATAGAAAGCGGCACAGGGTTGATATCTGCTATGCTAGGTGCGGCAGCGAACGGTTGATATTAAAAATGAGAATGTGTGAAGCAAAATTTGAAAACTGGGTTAGTTGGTGAAGATTCATTATGACTTACAGTGCGAAACACTCGAGACTAGAAGTGAATATAGTACAGCGCTGATTTGCAACTGAATTTTTATTGAATAAAACGAATATATGTAACATGTGAGCAAAACTCCTCGTGACTAAGCTGGCCTTTTCATTTGATCAAAATTTTACACAGCGCATCAAAGCTTTGTCACGGGCACGAAATACTGCCAAAAACAATGAAGAAACACACAAATGTTGCCAAAATACCGTATGTGAGATTGCAAATGATCCTTAGCCTCTAACATGAAAACTTCATCATTCAGTATGGCAATGGATGGCTGTCTGACATATTGAGACCCCTTCTTGTTCATACAAACACCTCCATAATCTCTCTTAATAGCTTGTCTGGGTGGTTGAAGATCACGCTTGAGTGGATGTGGACTTTGCACAGGAAAACGTCAGTGGCTTTTCCTTTTGTGTTCATTTGAAGAGAAAGTTCCGTTGGCTACGGGACTTGTTAAGAGCTCCATAAATAGGCTCTCCAAGAGGGTGGCAGCTAGTACCCTTGGTGTACCAAGGGCGCCGCTTTGACGGCTTTGAGCGTGGCGAGCGTCCTCACCAGCGCTGTGGCCACAATGTCGGCTATGCTAAAGAGTGTCACGAACGAGAGGCCCAAGTAGATGCCCATTGTGCCGCCTATGTTGGTCACCAGACTGGACAGCTGCGCATGACATGGAAAAGGGAAAGTTTAAAAAATTTAACATTCTATATGCTGACGGCACGCACACATTTCTTTAAACTGCAGACTAAATGGAAAAGTATATCTCGCATTTGACAAGATTTACTTGTGAGGAACTGGATGGACCATACGTTGAGGTCTCTGCGTCTATGCTAATGACGATAACCTAGATCCGTGGCTCTCTTGTGAATTCGGTCTCCGGTTAAGATAAGGAAATTCGTGCCATTTAGTTTTTCGAGACACATGCCACATCACATGGTGCACAGAAATGACTCTTCATGGCACCAGGGACATCGGAGCGCTATGTGACCTACCACACATGCAAACGAAAAGCCCCGGGCTCGCCACACGCTTGTCGATGTGTCTGCCTGGCTTTTATGGAGTGTCATCTGCTCTGGCAAGCTTCACAAAATGCCATTGCCCTCTCCTGCCGATTCCTGTCTTGCCATTGCGTAATTTTAGCACATCTGATCCAAAATTTGCTCCTTATTTACGGCAGCTATCAACCAGTAGCAGAAATCTGCCGTTTGATGACATGCGGCTGATGCCTTCGCCCCCCAGTGTGTGAGGACGGTGCCTATGTATGAAAAAAAGGCACTTTAAAAGATGGCTTTTTCGCACTTTGCTTGTAAAAAGTATGTGCTGTGCACGACTACAGAATTGGACTGAACTGTTCAAAGCTGTGCTTGCTGTTCGTAGAATGTGTCTTTTCGAAAAGCCCGAAGGTTGGATAAGGACCCATTTTTTGGGAAACAGCCGTATGTCACAATAGTACAAATAAGTCAATGATATTTTATCAATAATGGACCATAATACTCTGCATGTTTCAGAGTGTTTCCTCACAAACATATCATGATCATACTAACGACATGACGTACACTTCCACTATCATTATCATGAATTGGGGAGGTACACTTACAGGATATTGGGCGTAGCGCCTGCGTTTTTCGATTTTCTCACCGTCTAGATAGATGATCAACTTGGCCAGTATCCTGCATACATGATGCATTATGCAGATGCATGAAATAGCATCGAGAATCAGGAAAAAAAGAAGTGTAAATTCAAGGGCTAGTTTTTCAATGTAAGTCAGTCTCGTATAATAATGAGGGACAAGAGTGGCAAAGAAAATATCAAGGATGTTATAAGTAATAGTTGTAATGCTAATGTAAAGAGTATTTACATTCATATTTACATTATAATTTATACTGATAATCTCCCCTGCACTTTCCTTGGCATGCTTGTCCTTGTTAATTGAGGGTCAAGGGAGCGCTTACAGGTTTCTTCGAGAAAGGTGAAAAAATATCGAATGGCGATTTAATAATATTGAGCTCAATAAAGTGCAAGGTGCAAAGGATCACGCTTAAGAATATTTTCATTATGAAGCAACTAGGCCATGAAAAGGTCATTTTAAGGTGGCATTTTTCGTCGAGGTTTGTGCACGTGCGTGCTTGTGTGTTTGCACGCACGCGCTTTCGCAACAAAAAGTTTGGTTTTGTTGTCAAGATTTGCATCACAGCATGCGAACTTTAGGAGAGCTTTTGGCACCGTTCACCACACTGCCCTTGATTACGCAATCTTTAAGACTTGTCTTCAGTGCGGTCGAAAACCCTCAAAATGAGGGCATGTACAGGTGCAAGCATAATGGGTCTGAGTCAGCTAGTGTAATGATCACTTGAGAAAGTGTGCTGAGACTAGTTCGTGCATCGCTTCGTACTTCATCTTCTATACGAAATGTGTATTCGAATTGATACTGCTGAAGTCCACAATGTGGACGAGCAATGTTTATCGTTGTCATGGGAGCGCGAAACCGGAAAACAAAATTAATACAGATTTCTCATAAATATAGGTAGGTTGTGAAACCTTCTCTTTGATAGCTTCACGATACAAACATGTACATTAATCACGACAGTTTTCTACAAGACGTAAGAAAGAACCAGATTAAGCTCACAGCGTGTGTCTAAAATGATTGTGTGAGGCAATGTGGATTCATGGTTCAGATCGTGACACCAAAAGAAGAAAACATAAGGACAGGTATTCATTTGACATCTCCTATTTCTGTGCCGTTCTTAACCCCTGAACCACACTATCAGTGCTACTCAAGTAATTTGGAGCCACGCAATGTGGCAAGAACTGACAATGCTTTTGTGGGAGTTATGAAGTCATTTACAGCAGTGATGTCATGTGTATGTGGGCTCACCTTACCCAATTGTGTATATCTCTACTATGTACATACATTTTAATATATGAGTTCAAATGTAGTAGTACTTGTGCACTGACACAACTGTGACTGTAGGTGGCATCCTTAGTGAAGTGCATCGATTGTAGCATGTAACTGATCTACGCACAGTGCCCCCCCCACCCCCCACGAAATGGTTACTTGAGTCACTATAGTAAAAGCACAATTTTTATTCAATTTAAGAATCGTCGATGACTGCTCACCTGTTAGGGTATTTTCGCCTTTCCTGTAAATGAAAGATAAAAGAGGAACACTACGAGATCTGTTAGATCAAAAAATAGTTTGCAAAACTGAGCTGCACTATGGAGAAAAGGCTTCACATTAAAGCACACGCATGCGAGGGGTTCTCCAGTTGGGGGGGGGGGGGGGTGCAAAGTTTTGTTTGTGTACCACCAACCCCCTTTGTCAATTGAAAAAAACTAAAAATGTAACATATGCTGAACAATTGGGGTTACCATTGCCAACTCTTAAATGGAGAAAGTCGGGATCGGGCGAGACGACTTCCTGTGCTTTTGTGTGCGCACTGTGGTCAGCAGCAGCAGTCAATGTTGTTCAGGTGATCAATGCATGGGAGCAACATTTCTCATCAGGTTGGAATTATATAAATGAGCTTTACTATCCCTTTTCCTGCAGCAACCTGCCACCGTCACCCGTGTATGTAAATGCAACTGTAATCATCTTATGCTTACTGTCTCCACTGTATCACGAAAAACAAAGTTTTGTGATAGATAAACGTTGTTTGACTTAACAAGCGCACCCCTTTTTCTGCAGTAACCTGCGAATGTCACACATATGTAAATGCAACTGTAATCATTTCATGCTCATTCTCGACTGTTTCACGGAAATCAAATTTCTGTGATAGATAAACTTCATTTGACATCATAAGAGGGGCACCCATGTGTTCTTGGCAACCATGCGACACACTTCATCGCAAATGCAAGCTCAAGCAATGTGGTTTCCAGTAAAACATATAATACATTGCTTTGGTACATACGGCAGGCCAGCCTAGATGAGTCAACGTTTTTCTGTATACTGCTTCGCTGCAAAAGGGAACAAAACAATAGTAAGGTTAGTTCTGCCACAGCAATGTTTTTTTTTTTTCTCAATTTCATTTTTTTTGTTTCCATAAAAAGAGAGGAAGGCCTGAACAAGAAGTGGTAATTTTCACATGACAATGATAAGGGGGCCCTTGAGTTCATTAGGATGTTGAGCAGGATGTCGATTATAGCGTGACTATAAAAAAAATTTCTTCTTAGTGTGCTATATCGTTTTTGAATTATCGCTTATTTCTTAGAATTACTTCCATGTACGATATGCGTATGTGTTTGTCGCTCTTTTTCTTTGTTCAGTGGTAATTCTTTTTCTTTATCCTGTGTAAAATTGTTTTCACATTGATTGCTTTTAATTCCAGTGAGTGCCATCTTTTGTGTTTTTTTTCTCCTTGTACTTGTCAAAAGGTTCGTTTTTTTTTTTACGGCTAGGCACCTGAGGTGAAATATTTCATGCATTTGATGCAAATGGGATGTGGGAAATGCCTCCATAAAATAATGGTAATAATATAAACCTATACAGGATCGGACAGCTTGCAGAATCTCTTTGCTGACTTACTGTGTAAGAAGTTTTCTCAATACACTTGTTATGCCAATCTATAACCTATATTATTCGGTACTGCTTTTTTATTTAGTAGTGTTTCATGATCTGTTCTGCAGTCTATTCATATAGTGCCGATTTGAAGAATGATGATAGTTTTGTGTGCTCGTTGTGTCGCATTGCCTGCATTAGTGCCGATACATTTATTATCGTACATTATTTTTATTCTTGTCAGCTTATGTCTTGCTCAGGCCTCCTAAATGTTATAACAAACGCGTGCTTGACTTACAATAGCTAGATTATCTTATTCTGCATTCTCCAGCTCTTCTGTCAAATACTACAGCCGTGTTCTGGCATGTCCTTTATTATATTTATATATTTATTACCTTCCATTCCGCCCTTGTCTAATGCCGTGTAAAATGCCCCTAAGGGTACAGTGAGTAATGATGGTAGTAGTGGCGTACCAACTTTTTCACGAGTAGGGGGGCCAACCTACCTGAGTCGTCAGCTGGGATATATATAAATAAATATATGTGTGTGTGTGTGTGTGAGTTTGTGTGTGTGTGTGTGTGTGTGTGTGAGAGGGAGTGAGTGATCCTACAAGGAAAGTCATCACAGCGGCAATATTGGCAAAATTTTACTATGTTGTACCATAGCCTCGTAACAATTTCATTCTCCCATAAGATCATTGAGTGATTACTGTTGTGATCGAAAACTACTCTTTACTTGCCGGTTTCTCCAGCATGCAGCCAAGTGTGACCACTATCGAAAGTGGGGGGCTCAGCCGCCCCCCCCCCCCCCTACTTCTCTCAGTGGGGGGGGGGGCTTGCCCCCCCCTTGCCCCCCCCCCCTGACTGATATGCCTATGGATGATAGTGTATTCAGAAGTGGTTAGAGAGATTAGCTATCTGGCAACCCAACAGCAAGTTCTGTCATAATGTACAAAATATTTGAAAAAGCTGACTTACTAGCAGGGCAAATAACAGGTGCAGGGCAGCTGGTGAAGGGAGTACAATCGCTTGATATTCGTCACACATTTCTCCGACTGGCAATCTGCACGAGATCCGAAGATGGCGTGAGACTGAGAGCGAGAATCTCGTGAAGTTGACGAACGAGGCGTGCACACACACTCACACTGTGAGAGAGAGAAAAATGC